GGGTGCATGGAAAGGTCTTCCCTATCCCATTACCAGCTCTTTCACCTGGCGATGTTGGGCACCCTTTTCCCTGGGAGCTGGCATCAGGGAAGGGCCGACACGGCCCCTGCTCCGGTTCCCACTGAAGGCAGCCTTATTTCAAGGGGCCGCCCTTGGCTGACCAGTCATGGCTTTTACTGGTATTCTGCTCTTTAAAACATTTCAATAGGCTGCTTTATTCTTTTAACGTTTTAATACAACGTTCCAATATTTTCTCTTTCACTGTTCACTGCTCTGGAATCTGTTTTGATGCAGACCAGCAGGTTAGTAAATGTCTAAAAATGAAGGAGGGGTTGGCTTACACTGTCTTCAGCGCATCGCCACCGCATCAGAGAACAATGCTGCGGGTTGTTCCAGATTTCCCCCTTCACTGGGAGGGATGCCGGAACATCTGGTCCAGAGCGAGTGCATTTGCTGCAGGACTTGGGTGGGGGGAGTGTTTTCCAAAGACCTGCCCCACCTCTCTCAGCTGACTCCCTTCCCTGGACATTTAGCACATCTTGCCTTTAGTCTACCGACCTGCCCGTAGGACCAACGACCTGGGGAGCTGCTGGGCCCTCTTTCTCTGGAGGCATTCAAGAGGCAGCTGGGCAGCCCTCTGTCAGGGATGCTTGAACCTGGAGTCCTGCAGGGAGCAGGGGCTGGACTCAGTGGCCCCCGGCCCCTTCCTGCTCTACCCTTCTATCACTCTGCAACCGGAACACAGAGACTGGGAAGTATTTCATGGAGTTGCACGGTAAGAAAACGGGGCTCAGGGCTGGCCAACAAGGGCGAGCGACAGGAATGAGCAAGCTGCGTCCGCCCCCTTTTATTCAAGCCGCTTCAGCACAAAGGTCAATGCCACTTCCCCAGGGTCCTGCATGGACGGGCGTTCCCCTCCGCGTTGGCCCCTCCGTCGCCCCCGGCATACCCAAACCTGGAGTCTGGCAAACCTCTCGGGCCTGCCTGCCACACAGGAACAACTTCACGTGTTGCTGATGGTGCGTTTTCCCGCCTTTCCACCGAACGGCCCTGGGTCCCCTCCGCTTTATCCGCACGACAACCCTGCGAGGCAGTCAGGGGGAAAAGACTGACTAGCCCCGCCCCTCAGTGGGGCACTCTGGGCTGGGGCTCCACGGTCCTGCTGCCCGCTCGGCAGTCCTCTGCGGCTCGTCGTGAAGAAGAGGGCCAGCCAGCCAGGGCGAGGGTTGCGTGTGCTGGCCGGGCTTACAGGGGTCGTAGTCCAGCACATCGGAGGGCCCCATGTTGTGGAAAGCTGCACTGCAGCCTGGAAGTTTGTGCCAAGGATGTGTGCGGATTGGGCCCCTGCATCCACTCCTCCTCCTCCTCCTCCTGGAGAACCACGCAGCCAGCTGTGCTCATCCCCAACTCCTGAACTTTTCTAGAGGTTGTGCACCTGGAGAAAAGCGGGTGAAGGATCCGAGGGTGGCGCAGCGGTCAAGAGCACAGGACGGGGACTCGGCGACCTGGGCTCTCGTCCGCCCTCTGCCATGGAGCCAGCAGGGTGACGCCGGGCCAATCACAGACCCTCAGCACAGCCTACCTCGCAGGGATGTCGTGAGGAGAAAGTTGAGAGCAGCAGGAGGAGCCATGTGGCAGAGCAAATGAGACGGGATGCAGCAGCAGATGTGGCTTCCGTGCCTCCCGGCTCGCCGCCTGCCGAGCACACACAGGTTGGCAACAACGAGGAGAGGAGGCGGCGGCGGAGGAGCCGCTGCCAACGGTGGCAGTGATGCGGCTGAGGGAAGGGCCCACGGAGGAGGCGGCCTGGGCCCGGACCCCCTGCAGCCGGCGCCGACCCGCCCAGGCGATGTGGACGGAGCAGGAGCAAGGCGGGCAGCTGGCCAGAGGCGCCTCCCCGAGCAGTCGGCCCTGAGCTGCGCAGCATGGCCCGGCTCAGGGCGCTCGCCCCCAGGCCCACGTGAAGCGGCGTCCATGAGGGCCAGCCCTCGCTGGCGCCGAGGCGGGGGCGACGTGCCCGCGGAGCGTGCTGTGGGCCGCACGGCCTGCCCCCTGCCCGCGAGGGGAGCCTCCTGCCTTCGGGCGCGGCGGAGGAGGCACCCCTCTCACCCGCACGGAAGGGCGATTCGGCCGCCTGCCCCGCCAGCTCCTGTCGATGGAGCGGGAGCCCGCCATCTTGCCCTGGCATTTGCGGTGACTTGTGGCGAACCCGAACCCGAACCCGTCCCCGCGGGTCAGCCCGGAGCGATGCCGCTTCTCCTGATCGGCTCTCCTCCCCACCTCAGAGGGTGTGGCGGATTGTTTTGTTTTGCCATCGACTCTCCCACAAGCTCTGCAAGGGCTCTATGAACAGAATCCGTGCCAGGGGGAGAGAAGGCGGGCAGCCTTCGCTCCAGGCAAGGGGCATTCGGGAAAGCAGCTGAGCCTGTTCCTGGGAATTCTAGGCTCCCTGGGAGTTGTTGCTAAGCCCCGGAACCGCTGGGCAGAGGGTGTCCTGCTGCCGCCTCCTCGGTGGGTGGCCAGCCCCAACCTCCCCAGCCCTGGAGCAGCCCCTTCCCCTTCCCCTTCCGGGCAGCTCTCTGGTGCGCATCCAGCCTCTCGGGCTTCGGGTGCAGGAGGTCCCTCCAACGTCCTGCATCAGGATCCCAGTGTTGGAAGCTCCCCTGCTGTTTCCACCTGCCCGCAGGTGACAGAGAGAGCAGCAACAGGCGCAGAGGGGACGCTGGGGTGTGCCTGCTGCCCCCGGCTTTCTTGGTGTGCTGCTGCTGCTGCTGCTGCTGCTGGGTCCCCCAGCCATCACACAGACCCACAATCTCAACCTGGTGAGGAAGGACCAGGCCCTTTCTCTGGCTCTACCTGGAAAGGTAAGTGGATCAAGCCCTGAGGGCTTTACAGACAGAGAGGAATTTACTGGTAATGCTCTCTCTCTCTCTCTCTCTTTCTGGGTGAGTGAGTGAGTGACAGGTTGCTCTCCTGCATCCACTTACCTGGGGACAGCTATTCCCTGGATCACCTGCACCAGCTCCCTTGCCACCAAGAAGCCCCGGGGCCCAGGCTTCCTCCACCCAATGCCCTCAGATGGGCTCATGGGTCACCTGACTGGGGATCATGAGAGTTGCGTGCACCCAGTTGGGAGGGCTTGTCCAGGCAGAGAGAGAGGCTTCATAGAAACATAGAAATAGAGCGAGTCAGAAGGGACCTCCCGGGCCATCTAGTCTGACCCCGGCTCCAGCCAGCTCCACTCACGACATGCTCACCATGTGCATGTCCAGCCTTTCTTTGAACACCCACACCGATGGGTGCTCAACGACCTCCCGGGGAAGCCCATTCCACACCCTCGGGGTCCTGACTGTCGGGAAGTGCTTCCTGGCACCCAAATTGAACCTTGGCTCCCTGAGCTTTGCCCCGTTGGAGCGCGTCCTGCCTTCCTCTGCAGGGGAGAACAGGTCTCTCCCCACCTCCGTGTGACACCCCCTCACATACCTGTATGTGGCTAACAGATTCCCTCTGTCTCCCCTTCTCCAGGCTGAAGAGACCCAGTTCCCTCAGTCTTGCCTCATTCGGCCTCCCCTGCAAACCGGCCACCAACCTTGTGGCCCTGCGCTGCACTGACTCCAACCTGGCCATATCCTTTCTGTAACGAGGGGCCCAAAACTGAACACAATACTCCAGTTGCGGGTGCACCAGAGTCGTGTAGAGTGGCAGTAATACCTCTCTCGATCTTGAAGCCACACTTCTGGCTATGCAACCAAGGGTGGCGTTCGCCCTCTTGGCCACCGCATCACACAGCTGGCTCATGTTCAGCCTGCAGTCAACCAGCACCCCGAGGTCCCTTTCACAAGTGCTGCTCTCCAGCCACTGGTCCCCTAATCTGTACTTAAGACACCCATTCCTATGCCCCAAGTGCAGGACCTTGCACTTTCCTACACTGAACGCCATCCTGTTTCCCGAGGGTTCAGGTTCCCACTGCGTGTGAGATTAAGTCATGCCAAACCTCCTGTGTGAAGGAGACCTTTGAAGCAGAAAGCCTATAGAAAGCTAGCCTGCCAGGGAAAGGTGTTCTGCCCAACCTCCCCGCTGAAGAACTAGCTTTCACTCTCCAGAGTCTCTGCCTCTGGCCCTGGAGGGAGCCTCGTGCCAGCAGGACTAGGGGCTGCCCCTCCTCCTCCTCCTCCTCCTCCTCCTCCTCCTCCAAGAATGCATCCAATCGACCCTCTTTTAAATCCTCCAGAGAGGTGGCCACTGGGACGTCTCTGGGAGGGAATCCCAGTTTACCTCTGTGCTGAGTGACGGGGGCCCCCTTTGCTCTATTCCGAGTCTCCCACCCACCTGTTTATGGAGTGACCCCTTCGGGCTTCAGCATCCGCAGGTGGAGGAACCGGTCTCCTCCCCACCTCCTCCCCACCAGCCGCCTCATGCCTCCCTCCCCGTGCCCTTTGCTCTGGGCAGAGCAGTCCCGGCCACCTGGCGCTTCTCTCCTTGCCGCCACTCCCGGGCCAGCTGAGCTGCCCCTTCCTGCACGCCTTCCAGCTCCGCGGTGCTCTTTGCGACCGGCCGGCGGCCTGAGCCCGGCACGGCATCCTTCGTGCGGCCGGGCCACCCACTTGGGCGAGCTCCTGGCTGGCAAGAGACCGAGAGAGACGCGCACCTGCTCCGTGGAGATTCGCGTGCCGGGAGGGAGGCCTGATGCCCCCTCTGGGGAACTGGTCGCAACTGGCAGAGCCATGGGGGCAGCACAGGCGACCGCAGGCCACCCCACAGCCGGAAGGGCCCTCCCCCGAGATCCGTGCTGAGCCAAGCCCCCCAAGTCACCATTCCGACATGCATCAGGTTTGTCTGCAGTTGTCCTTTAATTTCTGTGAGGGACACACACTCTCTCACGCACGCACGCACACACCGGCACACACCACACCGCTGACATTTGGTAGCAGTCTTTGAAACGCCACTTGCAAAATAGAAGCCCCGGGCGGGCGGGCGGTGGGGGGAGATTTAGCGTGGGGGGGGAGGGGGAGTGGCTGCAGAGGGACGAAGTGGGGCAGTCTTTTGACACTCTTTTTGTTTCTTTTAATGATTATTATCATCATCATCATCATTAGAGTTATTATTATTATTATTGTTATTATTATTATTATTATTCAGGGACTCGGTTTCTTGCTGGGCAGCATGCCCTCTTTCCTCTCCAGCCGCATGTAAGGCTCGAAGGCAGACGTGCCCAGTCCGTAACTACTAGGTAATTCGTGCAGACTCCCCAGGAAGGGGCCGCTGAAACAGAGCGGGGTGGTGGGGAGGCGTGGGGGAGCCGAGGAGGCCAGGGAGGGGGCCTGCAGGCTGAAGCCCCCTGTCCCGGGAGGGCTGCCCCCGCTGCGGAGGCCTGGCGAAGCGTTCCCTGGCGTGCCCGCGGCGGACCCGTTTCCGGAAGAAGTGCTGACGGTGGGGTTGGGCGGCGGGGAGAGCAGCGTGGGGGCGCCTGGGAAGGACAGGAGCGTCCCCTGTTCCAAGAGTCTCAAGATGTTGCAGGTGGCGAAGGACTCGGAGGTGGAGGAGCCGCGCCTCTCCGAGTCTCTGCTCTGGTCCTTTTTCTGCTTGGTGCGGCGATTCTGGAACCAGACCTTGACCTGGGGGAGGGGAGGAGAGGAGAGGAGAGGAGAGGAGAGGAGAGGAGAGGAGAGTCATCCACAGGCCTCCAGAGTGAATCCAGCCCACTCATCCCAGAGGCTGTCTGTCTCGGGGAACAGTCCCACACATGGGCAGACAGAGAAGACGCCTGGCAGCTCGGCTGGCTGGGGAAAGTTCAGGCAGTCCTTTTCCATCTACGTGTGAATAAGATTGCACCCCACGCTTTGTTCCAGGAAACAGGAAGTAGACCCAGCGCTTCCAGTCTCCTGGTTCTCCCGGCAGCCAGCCAGCAGTGGGGCACTAGGCAGGTCAAGCCCTGGACCCCCTCGCGGGACCCCCATTTCCTTAGCCGCATCCATCACCTTGGTTTGGAAGCTCCCAAGCTGCATCTCTCTCTGCTTCCCCCCCACAACTCCTTGCTTTTTAGGGGCTTCTGCCTTCCTGACATGTTGGAGTACCCCCTCCCCGAACTATGCTGACTTTTAAGTTCTTCAGAATGACTCTGAGTGGCGCAATTTTGCACTTTTTAAACTCACTTAAAGCGCAGAACCATCATGGCTGGAGGAATAAGGTTCCTGCTAGACCTTAGAGGTTTAGAGTTGCCTGCCAAACACAATTACCTGGGAACATGCGGTGCTGCGCTATGCAGCGGGGCTGTCTGTATTGCTGGATGGAGGGACGGACAGATGGGAGGATGGATGGAGATCTGCCTGAAGCGAACACGTGAAAATCGTCCTCTGAAAACACGCTCCTGCCCGGCCAGTTGCCCCTGACTGCAGATGTCTTTTCAGGACGTAAGCAGAGGGGGATCGACCCATGGTGCCACCCCCGGAAAGGCCCTCCTCTTGCCACTGCCTGTGACGGCAGGTCTCTGCAAATGCACACCGACCTCTGATGACAGACGCCCGCAGAGAGGGCCCCGATGCGGATCTGCACATGCAGATGTGTGGAAGGAGGCGGATTCTCCAGGCGGCAGGTACTACTGAGAGCCAGTGTGGTGGGTGGTTAAGAGCACGGGACTGGGACTCAGGCGATCCAGGTTCGAGTCCCCGCTCAGCCATGGAGCCCACTGGGTGGCTTTGGACCAGTCATGGACTCTCAGCCTAACCTACCTCACAGGGTTGTTGTTGTGGGGATAAGATGGAGGAGGAGAATGATGCAAGCTGCCTTGAGCCCTTGGTAGGAAAAAGGCAGGATATAAATCCAAAAATAAATAAATAAACAAACAAACCGCACAGGTTGCTTCTAGGGGGCGATGCTGCCAATGCCAGAGCAACTGGCGTTGTTGCTTCAGGTGGACATGCCACGGGCCGCCCTTTCCTACGGCTTGCCACGGGGCACAGCTCTCTGGAAAGGCCCACTGGGCAAGATCCGTGCACGTGGCCGGGCGCTTTCCAGGTTCACTTGCCTGTTTAATGGATTACTCAGCTGCCTCTCAGGGAGAATCTCAAGACTTAGCGTGGCAAACAAGACCAAGGAACCATAATACGAGCAGAGTGGTAGTTTCTGAATTGCCAAACGAGAGGGCACTGATTTGTATACAATCTGACCACACCAATGTATAAGGTGAATATTTCAAGAGACAATTCTAATTTAAATAGAAATATGGCACAGCTCCTCTGGCTAGAAAATTATTATTTGGTTTTAAAAAAAATTATGGCCAGGGTGAATCCAGATTTTCTATGCATCTATTTATATGAGTGTTAATTTATTATGTTGGAAGCCTTCCCGAGGCTTATGCAAATGGGACGGCATACAAAAATTCCAAATAAATAAATAAAAAATAATAAATAAATAAAATTGTGACCTGGGCATTCAGCCTGCTGTTCGGATGCTACCACGGTGGCACATGCCCCAATCCTCTTGTGCACCCAATGCCGCCACAACTCCAATGTGCTGACAAATTCGGCAGTGTGGCAACGGGCAAAAAACAAGGCATGTTGCCAGCAAATTGTGGCGGGAAAGTTCTAAGAAGTTTTGAAAGGCCAACATGTGCTTGTTCTCCAGCTAAATCCAGCCTTTCCAACACTCTGCAGGGGGTAGAAAGGGCGGGGGGGGGGGGGTGTCACCAGACCCTGAATTCAGTGGCTTGTGGTCGCAGGAGTGCACCGTGGATTGGTTGGGGGAGGGGCCTCTGGATGCCCGTGGCTGTCCACCCCCCTCTTACTGATGGTGAACAATGGCCCTTAGCGTCTTTAATCTGGAAGTGGTCAGGTGGACCCTCCAAAAAAGAGGACCTTGTCAGCGGATGGTCCTCTGAAAAGGAGGGCACATGCTTGCCCTGAAAGTAAGAGGAACGGCTTGGTGCGCTTTGCTCAGGGGACCGGATCCGTCGCCACGTTTCATTTCGCCCTTCTTGCAGATAACGAGGGCTGTTTTCAGAGACACCGAAGCACGAGTCTGACGCTGCTGCAGTTCCTCACGGGGCTTTCAGAAAGGCGCCCTTGTGCGCTGCGGGAGGAGCCCCGAGCGTGGAGTGGCTGCCCTGGCCCGGTTGAGCACGGCCGCCATGCTCCCAGTGACGCGGGGGTGGGAAACCGCCACTGATGTGGGATCTGTAGCGCTACACACAGGACTTCGATGGCGCCCATCTGCACGGGCCAGACGAGGCCTACGGAGGATGGTCGGGGGCTCCAGAAAGGCTGGCGCGGAGGGGCGGCCGGTGCCAGAGGGGCAGGCTCCGGGTGCGCGCTCCACAGCCCGGCCCGCCGCTCCGACGGCGCGGGCCGCCCCGGGGAACCCACGAGGGCCGCGCGGGGCGTCTGCCTGGAGCAACTCGCCCTGGGAGAGCCCCAGGATCTCCGAGGCAAGGGGGCGCAGCGACAGGAGAACCCGCAGACGCGCGCCTGCCGCTTCTCCCACGCTGCGCGCGGCCGTGGCGGCAGGAGGCGAGGCAGCCCCGCGCGAAGCCGCCCGGGCTGTCGGGCAGGGAGCGCGCGAGAGGCGGGCGGCTCCGAGGGCCGCCGGAGCGGCCTTCCCGGGGGCGCTTTTCCCCGCGCACGTCCCAGCAGCGGGCACCGCCGTCTTCTCCTTCGGACCCGGATGCCGAATACGCGACCGCGCCCCGATTCCGCGATCGGCACCACCCGCTCGCGCTTCAGCCGGGGCGCAGTGCTGCGTCCTCCCTACATTGTCTGCCGCGGGGGCGGCCATCGTTGTCTCCCGAGCTTGGCGCTGGCTGTCGCCGGGCCCGGCTCGCTCCTTCACGGCCGGCATGGAGGAAGCCCCAGCCGGCTCCACCGAGGCTGCGAAGGCACCGGGGCCCGCCAGCGGCGGGGAGGAGGGGCGGCGGGTCACGCCGGTTCCTTTCGCCTTTCCTCCCCACCGTATTTGATCCAGGTGGCCGCAAACGCCCTCCGGGCCTAATCCGTGTCTGCGTCTTCTGTGCGGCTTCCGACGCACGTGAGCCGCCCAGTTCGGGGGCTGATGTGCCTCAAAGGCGCGGGGAGAAGGCTGGCACCGTGCCCGTACATGCTTGGCTCCTGAGGGTGGCGGGTGGTTGAGGAACCCCGGTATTGCCGAAAGAAAAAAGGCTCCGCGGGGTTGTGGGGAGACTTCCTCCCTCATAACGACCACAAGAGGACGCGTGCACGCCTGCGTCGGCAGGTGAGGCATTGAAACCTTGCTTCTGGTCTCGCGGAGCGCACGTGCTGCCCGCGCCCCGATGCTGAAGGAGCGGCATCCGTTTGCAACCCGCACAACTGCAGGCGGATGAGGCGGGCACGCCGAGAACAGGGCGCGGAGACGGCCATCTCCAGCGCAGGCGAACTCCTGCGGGCGGGTCTGCGCTGCTGGCGGAGCATGTTGAGTCTTCAGCTCCCGAATCTGCGGGTGCGGCCGGCTTCACACGTCTATTGCAGATGACCCAGGGCAGAATCCTGCTCGAGTCGACGCTGGAAAAAGCTCCGCCACTCCCAGCATCCCCCAGCCGGCAGGACTGAGGAGCGCAGGGACTCGGAGGGCTTTCTGGTGTCCAAATGGGCATCAGATTGTGTGGCTCAATAGGCAGAAGGCAGCTTGCCGCCGCGGACCTCCCTGGCCCCCCCCCTTTTTATCAGCCGTCTGCCAGATCGATGTTTTCATCACCTGCCTCCCGGTTTGGGTGGGTCCAGATCTGGATGACCTGCGAAACAGCCACAAGCGCCTCAGGCGCTGCCACGGCCCAAGTCTCCGTGCTGGTCCGTCCAGCCCATGTCGTCAGCACAGGCAGCCAGCCACAGATCTCCAGGGCATCGGGAGGACCCTCTCCTCGGGGTGCCTGGCTGAACCTGGGAGCTTCATGTGCACATCAGGGGCTCTGCTGCTGAGTTATGGACCTCCCCCATGGCCACAATGGCTGTGGATGATAGTAGTTGTGGACCATCACATCTGGAGTGCGCTTGGAAAGATGATGAAATGCCCCGCCCCTGGCTTGAATGGGTCTGGCGCCTCTGCCTCTCTGTCCGGAGCTGCTGCCTCCTCGCTTGGAGCGCTTGTCCGTGGCCCTGCGAGTCCAGAAAGGCCAGCCCAGCTTCTGCACGGCTGCCCCTGTTGTGGCCAGGTGGGGCTGGGAGGAATCCGACCCCATGAGGTGGCCTCTCTGCCCCATAATGGCTAGTTCCCCCTCTGGTAGCTCTTTGAGGGTGGCCTGGAAGCCAGCCATCTCTGAGACGCCGGTCCCTTTCCTGAGGCCGCGGCTGGCCAGAGGCCCCTCCCAGGCCAGATCTGCAATGGCCCTGGCTTGGGACAACCCCGTCCATCCACGGCGAGCCGTGTCGTCCTTGCATGAGGTGGCATGGAAAGAAGCCCCGTCCCTTCACCTGCCCGCCAAACCACAGGGGGGGTCCATTCTGAGGCTGGCCTGGCTCTGGCCGGCAACTCTGCGTGGCAGGTGGGGCTCCCCTGGCATGCGCCAGGGCCAGCTGAGCCCAACAGTCCAGCCCTCGCACTGGCTGAGAGCTCTAGCCCGCACGGAGGCTAAGCCCTGTCCTTGTAGGGGCTTCCTTGCGACAGGTTTGCG